GAGAGAGAGAGAGAGAGAGAGAGAGAGGGTGTGTGTGTGTGTGAGAGAGAGAGAGTGAGAGAGAGAGAGAGAGAGAGAGTGAGAGAGTGAGAGAGTGTGTGTGTGTGAGAGTGTGTGCGCGCGTGTGTGTATGTGTGTATGTGTGTGTGTCGCAGAGAATAAAAGAATATCAATGAGAAAGATGAGAGGGAACAGATGCTGTGAGAGATTTCCTTTGTTTATGCATATATATATATATATATATATATATATAAAACCCAAAATATGTATAAATATGTAAATAAAATTGTATGCATATATATCTTTTGCATATATATATAAACCAAAAAAAAGTGCATAAATAATATGTAAACTTACATACACACTATATATGTACTGTATGTGTGTGTGTGAGCATTTCTATATAAGCATAAGATATCGATACATAAATTAATAATACATAATAAAAAGGAATTTGTTTAATCAGTATTGACGAAAACAGTAAAACATATGTACAATGTATGTCATATTTCACCCTTAATAAAAGAGAAAATATATTAAATTAGGACCTTTACGACTCCGTCTCACCTCCAAATCTCATCACTATAATGTGAAAACGAACAAGTAATGACATACTTTACATTTAATGCACAAGTTATTAAAATAATAAAGCAGAAGGACGTGCATGTGGGAGCCACAGACAAACTGCTCATGCGTCAAACAACAGATGAGAATTTACCATGTTAGTATTAGTAACAGTTACCATGGTCAACCACTGAAGAGCAGATGCTGTCCATAAACGCCTCGAGACACGACAGATCTGTTTCTAGCTTAATCTGATGTGCATTCTGAGAGAGTGACAGTGAGGACATAATGACCCGAGCATCAACTCTAGCAGTGCTGTGTGCGGCTCTGAATGAGAGGGTTTCTCTCACAGCTGTAAACTATCCTTTCTCATGACAGAGCCATGAGCTCAAGTGCTGTACAACAGCGCCACCTGTCCACAATGTCATTAACTCTACAAACACACATTTCTAAGGCTCCAAGTGATCAAAACTTTGCCGTCACTCGATCTCCTGCACGTCTTCGGTCTCTGATTGATAGTTTAGAGTTTTTTATCCAATCAAAGCTCGTTTAGTGTAATTCTGGAGCTTCAGCTGGAGCTTCTCGTGTCAAATCTTGACTGGTTTTGATCAAGTAAGCATCAGAATAACGTCAGTAATATCTCCAGATGAACACTTACTGGACTGAAGCAGCTCAGCTTTACTTGATTCTCCATCAATCATGTTTTAGAGTCTCAAATCTGATCCTCAGGATCTTTTGAGGAGCGTTTGTTTCCAGAAGCTTTACTTTCACTGTTCCTCAGCGGAGGAATGATCTTCACAAGCCTCCAGAACATCTCACATCTTCTGAGGAGCCTTTATTTCTTCAGCTCTCAATCACTGCATTATATGTTTGGAGCATTTCACTCTCATCTCACTGAGACATGTTACTGCAGATATAGAGATGACTGATGTTCAAACAAATATATACATAATAAATATACATAGATACACACATAGAGACACAAACAATATATACACGTATTGTAAATTAATTGTGAGTTGAGTTTGAGCAGCACTTGTATGACGCACAAATGTTCCAAATCAGTAACTTATGAAGTTCTGTTCTAGTTATGATGCTGCCTTAGAAGACAGCTGCCTATGCAGGTAGTAGACAGCAAGGCAGCTCACTAGGTTTTGGAACAGAGAGCATCTGTTTAGTCATTTTGTGTCAGTTCTGTGAAGGCTGACAGATTTAGCACTCTGCTCATGGAAACCCAGATTATGCAGCTTTGGAGGAAATCTTTTACGATCTGGTTAGAAGATATTCCTAAAAGTTGCTCGGAGACTTTTCAAATCATTTCAACCTCAGTCATTATTACAGCAGAGATGGAGAGGTCTGAGCATAACGCCCATCTGCGCTCTTCATTTCTTTGTTCATCAAAGTGTTTGATGATTTAATAAAACAACAAAGGTTTCTGGCACTCACAAATGTATCAATCTAGTCTTTGATCAGTCCAACCTGCGCTCACAAACATTCATTCTGGTGGTGCTGTTATGGCCAGGAACAATCGGCAGGATTGCCATGCTCACCGCGTTTAACCTTGAGACGATGTGTGGCGACATGATCGCCCAGCATTCAATCTCACTGAAAAATGGTGCAGCCGTTCTCCAAACAGTGGCCTGTAATGTGAAAGCATCGGCTGAGTGCAGAGCTCAACATTAGATGGCGAATCGAACCGTAAGTGAGGCATCCATCTTATCGCGTCAAATTGAGGCGGCACCGCGTTCTCAAACGGCCCACGGTTGACTGTACGCACATGTGCTGATCTGAGATCATACGTCCTCGTTCTGTTCCAGATGATAATGTAAAGCAGACTGAAGATGCTGATTCTCGGCTCAGTGCTTAAACGCAATTAAAGCTTATAGGATTCATGCACGGCTGGTCAAATCAATCCGTCATGAGAGAAGCCATTCTTGTGCAGAATTGCAGTGCAATGACATTTTTGAGTAAAATCGTACAAAAAGAATACATAAATGTCTTTCTGTTGCATTTGTGCATGCAACAACGAACATACAGAACAATCAGTTTAGTCTGATTCCGCAATCATTCTTTAAACTGGTTCTTTTTAATGAATCTTTTTTTTTTTAAGTCTTGAACTTTACGGATAACATGGAGTCTGATTTATGAAAAACTGAATTGCTCACAAAGAATCATGAATCAGACTCAAACACACTCAAAAATTTGAATCCATCAGTTATCGGATTGAATCAATCCACGGGTTCTGGACTCATTTACTATCATCTAATAGATTCTATCAACTAAATGATTCAGTAATGATTCTTTTAGCTGGTTCTTTTTGATGAACCTTTTAAAAGTCTATGGTTAATATATGTAGTCTGATTTATGAACAAATACATCTCATGAGCTGGTTTGTTTAACTGAATCGCTCAAAAAGAATCGTGAATCGGATTCAAACACACAAAGATTTGAATCTCTCATTTATCTTGTTGAATCATTCAGCGGTTCTGAACTCAATTACTTAATGAACTATTATTATATACAGTATATTATACTTATTTAACTATCATCTAATAGTTACAAACAATTATTGGGCACTTCCTAAAATGAATAAAAGAATAATTAATGGAATTAAAGAGACAGAAATCGTTAAAATCCTTACAACTGCCATCCCTAATAAGAAAACCTGGGAAAGAGGGAATGAATGAACAACTCTTAAAACTATCATTTAAATTTCTAATTTAAGACATTTGAACATCTAGGATGAGGAATAAGGAACAGTCTTGGGAATAGAGAGCCATTCATATTCAGAATTGCAGTGCAATGATGTTTTAATCCAAATTTTTAGCAAAATCATACAAAACACAATAAATAAGTGTCTTTCTGCTGCATTTTTGCAAGCAGAACGATCAATGTTGTCTGATTCGGTAATGAGTCATTTAGCTGGTTCTTTATAATGAATCACTCAAAAACAATCACAAATCAGTCTTGAACCCGGTTAATATCTGGACTCATTTACTATCATCTAATAGTCACGGCCAATTACTGGGACTTTCTAAAAAGAATGAAAGAATCACTGCCATCCCGACTGAGAAAAGCTGTGAAGAGGGAATGAAGGTACAACTTGTTGTTGCGTCTTACTGCATCCGTCCACTCACGAGCAGAATGAGGTTATAGATGTGAGAGAAGATGAAAAGCGAGAGTATCGTGCTGAAAAACATGGTCATCCAAGAGCCGTGGTCCTCGCGAAACATCTTCAGACGCAGGACACGACCTGAGACACAAAAGCCAAACGATATTTAACATTTAAACAAACGTGAGCAGTGCATGTGTTGCCATGCTCGACACATAACCAGATCATACATGACCTATTACTTATATATTATTATATTTTTTGTTAATATGTTTAATTAGCTTTTATTTGTATAACTTATGTTATATTTTTAGAAATTTTTATTAGTTATTGTCTAGTTTTTATTTTAAATTTTTGTAGTTAGTCATTTTAGTATGGAAGCCTGTTTCCGCCACTGAATAAAAAAATTTACAAACTTTTTTTCCCCGCAAATCTGACTTTTTTTCTCAGAATTGTGAGATATCAGTTCACAATTGCGAGTTAACGTCCAATTTTGAGGGAGGGAAAAAGACTGATATGTTGTCAGAATTGCGAGTTTATGTCTCGCAATTATAACTTTTTAACTCACAATTGCGAGTTAATATCACGCAATTCTGAGAAAAAAAGTAAGAATTGTGAAAAAAAACTCTCACTCTCACACACTCACTCACTCACTCACTCACTGTCACACTCACTCTAACACACTCACTCACTCACTCTCACACACTCACTCTCACTCACTCTCACACACTCACTCTAACACACTCACACTCACACACTCACTCACTCTCACACACTCACTCACTCACTCACTCACACACACACTCACTCTCACACACTTACTTACTCTCACATATTCACTCACTCTCACACACACTCACTCTAACACACTCACTCTCTCTCACACTCACTCACTCACTCTCACACTCACTCTCACTCACTCACTCACTCTCACTCTCACTCTCCCTCTCACACACTCACTCACTCACTCTCACTCTCACTCTCCCTCTCACACACTCACTCACTCACTCTCACTCTCACTCTCCCTCTCACACACTCACTCACTCACTCTCACTCTCACTCTCCCTCTCACACACTCACTCACTCACTCTCACTCTCACTCTCCCTCTCACACACTCACTCACTCACTCTCACTCTCACTCTCCCTCTCACACACTCACTCACTCACTCTCACTCTCACTCTCCCTCTCACACACTCACTCACTCACTCTCACTCTCACTCTCCCTCTCACACACTCACTCACTCACTCTCACTCTCACTCTCCCTCTCACACACTCACTCACTCACTCTCACTCTCACTCTCCCTCTCACACACTCACTCACTCACTCTCACTCTCACTCTCCCTCTCACACACTCACTCACTCACTCTCACTCTCACTCTCCCTCTCACACACTCACTCACTCACTCTCACTCTCACTCTCCCTCTCACACACTCACTCACTCACTCTCACTCTCACTCTCCCTCTCACACACTCACTCACTCACTCTCACTCTCACTCTCCCTCTCACACACTCACTCACTCACTCTCACTCTCACTCTCCCTCTCACACACTCACTCACTCACTCTCACTCTCACTCTCCCTCTCACACACTCACTCACTCACTCTCACTCTCACTCTCCCTCTCACACACTCACTCACTCACTCTCACTCTCACTCTCCCTCTCACACACTCACTCACTCACTCTCACTCTCACTCTCCCTCTCACACACTCACTCACTCACTCTCACTCTCACTCTCCCTCTCACACACTCACTCACTCACTCTCACTCTCACTCTCCCTCTCACACACTCACTCACTCACTCTCACTCTCACTCTCCCTCTCACACACTCACTCACTCACTCTCACTCTCACTCTCCCTCTCACACACTCACTCACTCACTCTCACTCTCACTCTCCCTCTCACACACTCACTCACTCACTCTCACTCTCACTCTCCCTCTCACACACTCACTCACTCACTCTCACTCTCACTCTCCCTCTCACACACTCACTCACTCACTCTCACTCTCACTCTCCCTCTCACACACTCACTCACTCACTCTCACTCTCACTCTCCCTCTCACACACTCACTCACTCACTCTCACTCTCACTCTCCCTCTCACACACTCACTCACTCACTCTCACTCTCACTCTCCCTCTCACACACTCACTCACTCACTCTCACTCTCACTCTCCCTCTCACACACTCACTCACTCACTCTCACTCTCACTCTCCCTCTCACACACTCACTCACTCACTCTCACTCTCACTCTCCCTCTCACACACTCACTCACTCACTCTCACTCTCACTCTCCCTCTCACACACTCACTCACTCACTCTCACTCTCACTCTCCCTCTCACACACTCACTCACTCACTCTCACTCTCACTCTCCCTCTCACACACTCACTCACTCACTCTCACTCTCACTCTCCCTCTCACACACTCACTCACTCACTCTCACTCTCACTCTCCCTCTCACACACTCACTCACTCACTCTCACTCTCACTCTCCCTCTCACACACTCACTCACTCACTCTCACTCTCACTCTCCCTCTCACACACTCACTCACTCACTCTCACTCTCACTCTCCCTCTCACACACTCACTCACTCACTCACACACTCACACACTCACACAAACTACTAAAAATGACAAAATCTTTTTTCGATTAAACCAACAAAAAAAGTGCATTATTCAACAACCACAATCACAAACACAGTCGAGATTCATGTTTGGATGTATCCCAAATATTACAGATGATTATGCTTGAATAATCGAGAGTAGCAGTCCTAAAACATATAAATAAATAAATACTAACGAACCAACAGAAAATGTTGGAAAGACAGAAGGGCCAGCTGAATTTTCATGAAGTTTTTAATCAAATATTTATGTTTTATTTCAGCTTCATGTCCTTTAACAAAATATTTGTAATAGTTTAGTTTTAGTTAACGATGATGATTTTCTGTTCATAACGGCACGACCTTCACAGATCCAGGCATGATCATTAGCTCCATACAACCGATCATCTCTGCAACCTGCCATTTCTGCTGACTGGGCGCCAGGTTTAGCCTCACAGACCCAATGAACCCGTGGAACGCGTGCGGTTCTGTATTTTCCACAGCAATCGATCCTCAGAACTGAGGCTGACATCAGTACAGTGGCGTTATTCATGAGCAGCGAGGACATTCCCATTATCTTCCTTCACCTGAAGGATCAAACTGACAGCAGGGAACATCTCTCTTTGTCTCTGGCTCTGAGATTGATTCAGAAGTCGTGAAGCCGCTCTGAATGCTTAATCGTGCCCTTCAGCGCCTGTCACGGAGGTGATCTCGGTCCTGTGAGTGGAGAGGAAGGTCTCACGGCTTTCCAGTGTCTGTTTAAAGTGATTAAAGACGACTACAGTTAAAGACGCTGTCAGTAGCACTTACACGGACCGAGTCTGATCATTACCCACGGAGCATTTCTAAAGGCCTTGGTGTGCACTACATAGGGAGCATCATAACGGACATTTACCCTAGTGTGAGTGATCTGGAACACACTAAATAGGCAGCAACTCCATGTGTCGCACAAAGAGGGCAAGATTTGATTCATAATCGATTCTAATAGGGTTCTTGCTCAGTACTTTTGTCTAGTTTTCCAGTACAAATATCTAAACATTCATAAATCAAGATACATTGAGATGCAACATTACATCGGATATGCGCTTGTTTTCTGGAGGAAATCATTTTAAGTTAAGTACATTTATGATTAAAGCAAGAGAAATATCTGCCAATGGCATAATATTGTTTTTCATTTGAATTAAGTTTCTGATTCAACTGGAAGACATTTCTTCTTGTTTTAAGTACGAACTCTTCGTTTTTCTTCGTATTTGTGTCATTCTTCAATAAAATATTGAAATATTCTTAAATCAAAATATCTTTTTGAGAAGCAAAATTACCATGTCTTTTTTTTTTTTTTAGAAAAAATATCTAAATTAAGTCAGCTTATGGTTAAAATAAGAACAAATATCTGCAATAATATCTGCAAATGGGGTCAGAAAAATAATCTTGTTTTTCCTTTGAATTAAGTTTATTTTTCTGACCGCATTGGAAAATATTTTTTCTTGTTTCAAGTAAAAGTGTTCTCAGTATTTTTGTCTTGTATTTCAGTAAAACACCTAAACATTCTTAAATCAAGAAAATAATAGGTATAAATTCCTGTTCTCTAAAAAAAGTATCAAAGTTAAGTAATTTATGCTTTAAACAAGAACAAATAATTATTACATGCAGACATTTGTTCATGTTTTAAGCAAAAACTCACTTCATTTTGATGCATTTTTCAGAAAGGAAGACTCTATATCTTGCGTCTCCAGGACATGTATCTAGATTTAAGAATGGTTAGGTATTTGTACAGGAAAATAAACAGAAATAATGAGGAAGAAATCATTTTTTGTAGTGTTATCCATAAGAATATTTAAACATTCTTAAATCAAGAAAATAATAGATATAAATTCCTGTTCTCTAAAAAAAAGCATCAAAGTTAAGTAATTTATGCTTTAAACAAGAACAAATAATTATTACATGCAGACATTTGTTCATGTTTTAAGCAAAAACTCACTTCATTTTGATGCATTTTTCAGAAAGGAAGACTCTATATCTTGCGTCTCCAGGACATGTATCTAGATTTAAGAATGGGTATAAATTCCTGTTCTCTAAAAAAAGTATCAAAGTTAAGTAATTTATGCTTTAAACAAGAACAAATAATTATTACATGCAGACATTTGTTCATGTTTTAAGCAAAAACTCACTTCATTTTGATGCATTTTTCAGAAAGGAAGACTCTATATCTTGCGTCTCCAGGACATGTATCTAGATTTAAGAATGGTTAGGTATTTGTACAGGAAAATAAACAGAAATAATGAGGAAGAAATCATTTTTTGTAGTGTTATCCATAAGAATATTGAGATGATAACAAAATACTTTAATAAGCATAAAAAGATACACAAGTAATCAACCTTTAGTATTGAAATAAGTATATTTACAATTAATATTTAACTAACCCATCATCGTCCAGCTCACTGCAATTCATCCTGGGACTGTCCTCTTTCTACATACTTGTAGTTTTTCTGCCCTGTGAAAGTTACAGTGCGTTTCATAACACAGCGAACCGGATGAGATCAAGCACATTTTGATTCCTTCATTCACGACCCATAATCTTCACATCTGCATTTTTATGCTTCAGTCATTTCAGGAAAGAGTC